TCATAGTGTTAAAGCAAGTTGGAAGCCTAGTATCTCTATCATCACCATAAAATGAATTCTGCTCAGGAGGGGTGGGTCCCTGCCACCCACAGGGTGCAGCCCCCCCGCACAGCTCACAGACTGCCCCCCAACAAGGGCCACATGGCCCCTTCAGGGGCTACTACCTCCATGAAAGGTGCACATGCCCCACCCCGACTTGCTTGCCCAGCCCCCTGGATTGTTGCCCTGCCCGGCCCCACCCCCTGCTTACACCCCCAGACCCCATCACCTGCCCCCATCCCCTGCTTGCCCCCCCAGCCCCAGGCAGTAGCAGCAGCTGTGGGGGTCACTGAGGCCTCCTGGCTGGTAAAGGGGGCGGGGGGGCAAGAGAGAAGACGACGACTGAAGGAGAGGGGAGTGGACCATGGAGCACCCCCGCCAGCCCCAACCCCTGCCTGCCCCCCATCCCTCCAGTCGCCTCCCTGTCCGGACCCAGCATCCCGGCAATAAAAAAGCCCCACACTTACTGGCAGTAGCAGTTCACTGGGGCCTCCTGGCAGAGCCCCTCTGCATAGCACGGGGCAGTGGGGACCAGCCCTGGCTGCCTGGCACCCGCACTGGCACTGCCCCATCGTGTGGGTGAGACCTCGGTCAGCAGGGCGCCGCACAGTTCTGCATGCTATCAGGCAGCTGGGGCCACTGTGGCTGTCAGCTGGGGCCCGTCACCGCTCAGCCCAAGCACCCCAACTGCCCAACAGCGTGTGGAGTCACACAGTGCCCTGCTGACCCAGGCCACACATGCGCGATGGGGCAGTGGCCGTGCAGGTGCCTGGTGTGGCCCCTGCAGCCCCCCGTCGGGAGGGGAGCTCTGCCAAGAGGCCCCAGTGACCCCCCATGGCAGCTGCTACTGCCAGTGAGTGTGGGGGCTTGCTTTTATTTTATTTTTTTTTAATTGCCAGGATGCTGGGGCCAGGCAGGGCCGGGGCTGGGCAGGGTAGCGATCTGGGGGCGCAGAGAGCGGGCAGGGGATGGGGCCACCAGAGGTCTCCCCATGCCCCCCCCCTCACTTACCAGCACAGAGCCTGTGTCCAACTCCCTGCGGCTGGCAAGCTGCCTGTCCTGCATGGGCAGGCAGTGTATTTCAGCACTGGCGTGTGGGCCAACCATAGTGATACTCTGGCTGACTACCAGAGTGTCTCTGTGGAGGACCAGAGCCTCCGGTTGCTTCCTGCTTTTTTCCACTGGGGTATTTTTTGACCCCTAGATATCCAGGGATGTAATTTTGCCCCTGCACTGCAAATTTGCAACAGGGGGAATATCTTTTTGTTCCCGCATTTGCCTCTTGCAGTGTCTCAAAGGCCTGCAAGATGCACGTATGCGCTCATCTGGATGCATCCACAATGGATTCTCAGTCTATCATTAAGATGAGAGGTGCAATGTTTAGGTTCTTCATTCAGATGCATGCCCAGGGTTGCAGAGGTCCCTGGGTTGAAAGTAAACTAATACTCCTGCTGTCCTCTGGCATCAGCTGCACAGCAGAATTGCATGTTCTGCACCTTCCTGTTGCAATCACTCTGCCTATCTCCAGTGAAGAACTCTGGCATGGCTGATGGGTTGCTCAAGGGTTTGTGATCACTTGGGCCAAGAAAAGTTTTCCCCAGCTCAAATTATGGAAACTGCTCCACATGGCCCCATGCTACTTTCCTTTATGAAGTAGTAGACACCACTTGCCATTAGCCACCACCTTCTGGATGAGACTGTAGTTGCACTTTCACAGAGCAGGGTGAAGTGTTCTGCCACCTTTAGTGCAAGAAGAGGTGGCAGCTGATGGCAGGAGATCAAACGTTGTGATTGAAGTGCTATAATCCTCTGTTTTTCTGAATATAGTACTTCTCTAAATCCTTGTCTAGACAAAGCATCACTTCATCTGCCTTTTTAAGGGTTTCTTCCCCCCCGCTCTGGAAGCACAGTCACTCTGCCACCCCAGATGAGAGAGATCTAAAGTCATGAATAAGACTCGCAGGAAACTAGTCATGGCTCAACCTTTCCCCCACACACTTCTGTCCTACATACCACATCTCTCCTGCCAGCAGTAAGATACTGGGTTAGGGAGATCTAGGGTATCTCCTAAGAGATAGCATGCAGTAAATCCTGATGAACTAGTCCACAGAACTCCTTTATGAAGAGAATTCTACTCACTTCATTTTTCAACTTTTACCTGAGAGGTACTCACAAGCAGCCCACACTCCCACAAGCTTTCCATGGAAGAAAATTATCACTAAAACAAAATGGCAACAAAAGGAGAAAAAAAGTACACCACCACTGTAAATACCTCTGAATGCATCTTGAGCATAAAGAACTCCAGGCAAAATATGAGACAGAGCCAGGAGATTCTAATGACTGAGTCTGATGTAATTTCACAGTATCATAGTGCTTAGGGTTGGAAGGGACCTAAACAGATCATCAGATCTGACCCCATGCCCAGGGCAGAAACAGATGCTGGGGTCATATCACCCCAGCCAAATATCTGTCCAGCCTCTCTTGAAGACCCCCAAGGTAGGAGAGAGCACCACTTCACATGGAAGGCCATTCCAGAGCCTGGCAGCCCTAACCATAAAGTAATGTCTCCTGATGTCCAGCCTGAACCTTCTCTCTAACAATTTGTGGCCGTTATTCCTAGTAACCCTGGGTGATGCCCGGGGGAAAAGGGACTCTCCCATTGCCTGCTGGTCTCCCTTGGCTAGTTTATAGATGGCCACCAGATCCCCTCAGCCTTCTCTTGTGGAGGCTGAATAGGTTCACGTCCTTTAGGCTCTCCTCGTAGGGCCTGCCCCGCTGCCCCTTGACCATGTGAGTGGCCCTCCTCTGGACCCTCTCAATGCTAGCCACATCCCTCTTGAAGTGCAGCACCCAGAACTGGACGCAGTACTCCAACTGTGGCCTGATCAATGCCGCATAGAGGGGGAGGATCACCTCCCTGGACCTGCTTGGGATGCATCTGTAGATGCACAACATTTTGCTGATCTATTTCCCCTTGTTTTGTCACATCTACTCAGATAGTGAAAAGCAACATGGCCACATCATGGTACAGAGGCAAGCAAATTAAGTATGGGAACTACCACAGACATTTAGCATTAAATAGACTCAGACTCTTTTTAGCAATTACTTTTTCATTATAGAAGAAAGCAGCACCACTGCTACAGGTGCATCAAGTGAATGCAAATGCCTTCCTCAGCTGCAGTGCACTACCTGTAGCTTACATAGATAGCTCCCTCAACAAGGGCTTCTGTAGCTTCCTTGCTTTCCTTGATTCATTACTCTGAAGCTAACTGGTGTGTGCTATAACCCAATTCTGAATTCAGCTGTTATAAGCAACACCAAAGATGTGCTGGTGGGAAACTGATGTTGCCGAACTGGAAAAATACAAAAATGGGACCCCAGTAATTTAAGCAAAGGAGAAACAAGGATGAAAAAATAATGCTGCAGCACAAAAGGACAGAGAGGGAAGCTGCTGATGAGGTGAGATTCACTTCCCAGTTCTGAACAGGGAGTGTGGGGAAAGCTGGGATAGCTCTTCAGTTAACAGCCACAAAGAGACACAATATGAATCTACAGGGGCCAGTCTAGCTACCTCGTTACATTACTCCAGTGCACATGTACTGATAAAAAAAGATTAAAAAACAGACTTTGTGAAATTTTTGAAATTGCTATAGTAACTTTGGCTGAAATGACAGGCTCAATAATTAACTTATCATAGGCTAGTACTGTCAATGGTTTTCCTTCCCAGGTGGTTTCTGCGTTGCCTAAACTCCTGGCAAAAAAGCAAATGTCCCAGTAATTTTTTTTTTTTTATTGAACCTATCCCCTTCCCAAATTATAGCTTCTACTCTCTGACCATCAGCTGTCACATCTACACACCTCCTGGTTGTCTCCATAGCACAGACCTGATGAGGACAATGCATAAAGATCATTAGCTGAAGTTAAAATTGGTTACAAGCTGCCAGAAAACAGGACTTTTCACAAAATTTTATTTGCTAAGAAACGCTCTCTTCCCTCAGTATTGGTTGTGTCCTTATACAGTTTTTGAGAGGGGGAGCATTTTTGTGCTACCCTCTTCAGCTTAAATTAAACAAAGTAGGATCAACATAGCAAAGAGAAGCAAAGGAAACAGGGAGTGTTTGTGCTCAGCCAAATCAAAACCATTACAACTGAGAAAGTTTGAGGAATTAATCAAAATAAGCTAAACACTTTATTCTAACCAATCAAGTTACAGTGAATTCCAGCAGAATGAGTGAGCATTGCACACTGGGTCTGTTGCCTCTATGAGAAACATATTGAAGGTGCCTACAAACACACATTTTATACAAATCAGGTACAGCTCTCAAGCTCCCATAAGCTCCCAAACCAACAGTGAGTTGGGTAAAGCTAGAACGTCCTTGGCTGAGATGATTAAGGAATGAACCAAAATATAAGCCAGCGTTAAAATGAAACATAATATTGGGCTAATGCACAGAGCTTCAGTTCTTGGCTCACCAGAGTGAGACTCAAAGAAGTCCCTTTAAAAGCCATATAGTGGTTTTGTAGTTTGTTAGGTAATACACAAGCCAAAACTTCTGTAACTATATTGCCCTTCCACCCAGGGCAGTGCCACCTAGCCACTAATTACTCTACTCACCCCCATTAACTTTGGCTGTGCAGAAGCACAGGGGAGAGCCAGCAGCTTAGGGACCCAGGCATGGGTACATTTATAATCTGGTTAAAGAACTATGGCACCTGCAGTTACAGAAACTGTTATTTGTACTGGAACTGCTCATGGCTTTAGCGAACCTTACAGCTCCTGGTTGTCACTGTGTTCTCACTTGTTTTTAAAGTCTTGCTCCCAACTGCAGAATAGAATTGCAACGTGTATTAACTCAGAGAATAAACATCAAGCCCTCTTGAAAAGCTGCATAGCTAGTGTCAGAAGGAACAGCAGAAATGGGTGGCTCATTCTTTCTCTGGGAGATGCCCCCTCTGCCTACCTAAGCTGTGGCCATTCTTTGTGTAGAAACAGGTGTTGTTGATGAGGTTGACACAGCAGCCAATCACGTCTCCAGTAGTGAACGTAGGACCATAGGGCTGGCCTGTCCCCGAAGAACAGAAGGAGTGCCCATCATCACCATGGTACCCATATGAGTGTTTATCCCAGCCTGCAGAATGAAAGAAGAACAAGTCAGTAAAGAGGGAAGTCTAGAAGGGGCTGTATATAGTGCCTAGAGCTGGGTGGGAAACAATTCTCCCAGCCTAGAACTGGGTGGAAAAATTCCAAGACTGAAATAATTTCTGGTGCCCAATTGGGATGAAAAGTCTAATTCTAAAATTTTTAACATAAAATTTAAATATTTTGTTTTGGTCAATGAAAACATTTAATTCAGATTTTTTTTATTTATACGAAAAATTAATCAATTAGTTTAAATTTCAAAACAAGTGTCAATCAAAAGTGGAATTCTTTGTTAGAAAAAAGTCAAAACCTTTTTCCAACATTTTTTAAAATGAGGAACTTGTTGAATATGGCACTTTCCTGTGAACACTGTTGGTTTCAAACAGATTGGTATGCTTCACTGAACAATTCTCAACCAGCTCCATTGATGACTCAGTGTAGTACACGGGAACACCAGGGTGGCCAGAGGCATTTCTGCATCCCTAAATGTAAGCTTCTAGTACTTCTAAGTTAAAGAAATCTCATGCTTCTAAGGCAAAAATACCTTCTAGTTTATAGGGGTGTAGGTTGCAGCCGTGTTGGTCTAAGGACATAGGCAGACAAGGTTCTTTGAGTGAATCTGATATCTTTTATTAGACCAACTTAAATAGTTGGAAAACAATTATTAAGCAAGCTTTAGGATTCAAAAACCCTTTGTCAGGCTGAGGAAGTTTCTGCAATTGGTATGTGCTCTTCCTGGATGGAATGAAAAGTAAAGAAGCCAGCGGCTGGTCTTGTCTGCATACAAGACAGGTACGCATGTCAGTGAAAATGTAGTTTGAGGAGTCAATGGGTGAGACAGACCGGGGGAGGGTGGTGAGGGGAGGGGGATGAATAGTGGAGAGATACCAGTTTATAGGCAACCCAAAGGGTGGGATAGCTCCAAGGCCTGAGAACATTTTTGCCATCTTAACCGGTGTTCATTCTGATACTTCATAATAAGGGTGCACCAATAAAGATTTTCTTGACTAATACCTATCCAATCACCAATATTTAGTAATAATGCAAGGCATTATGTATAACTCACTCACACATACATTCTTCCTGCCTGCCCTAAATGAGTAAGACGGTGACTGCCTTATTCCCGTGCACATTGCCCTCTCATCCATGGCTCCTACCCATGGCCCCACTCCTAGAGCAGCCCGTGCTGCCATCCTGGACAGGTGGGGAGGACCCTCATGCAGACAGTACGTTACCCAACCTGTGCACAACCCAGGGTCTCCGCAGCAGCTCTGGCACTCAGGTTGCTGCTGAGCACACAGTGTTGCTATGGAAGCAGCAGGAGCTGGTAAGGGTCCCTTTGTTGTTAGTGTCCCCACCCCCCCTGCTGCTTGCCAGGACCTGTAGTTTGCTGCAGGCTTGGGCTAGCAGTGAAGCACGGGGACAAGACTACACTCGCCAAGGTGCTCCAGCCACACAGCCGTAATTATCAGCTACAATGACCAAAAAACGCCAATAGCTGATAACATCATTTCTCCTTTTATCGGTGCTGATCCGATAGCCAACCAATATATCCGTGCACACCTATGTCACAAAGCTCAATTATAACATCAACATAGCTAATTTTGCTGCTTATGATTTAATAGAAAACTGGAATCTCTGGGTCTGGGAGCAGTGGCTAAGATTAGATCGATTGGTGCAATGTCCCCCTCCCTTCCTCTTGCATCCCTGCTTTTTCACCCAAACTCTGAGGCCCCTCCATACATAACAGGTATTGCTCAATTAACTGGAGACCAGAAACACACGCAGAATAGCTATTACACAATAAAAAGCTCCAAAAATGTGTACTAGCTTTATAGCTGGTTGCTATCAGTCTTTGACTGATGCACAGGGCTCCCAGCTGCAGGGTCTTGCTTCTTGCAGGTGCAGGGGCAGTCTGGAATCGGCGGGATGGGATCTAACATGTGATCCCACTATCACACCTCCTGCCATGCACGTGTGGCATGGCAGGAGGTGCCAATGTGTGAATCACACATTAGATCCCATTGTGCCTTTACCTGCATTTGCAGAGGGAGCCAGAATAAGAGAACATCAATCCTAGAAAGAGCTGGTGTCAATCCTGTACCTCCAACTATGGTGTGTCCCCTTCACTTAGGAGACTAGCTAACACATGAAAGATTCAAGCAGGCAGTGATTCTCCAATACTTATCACCTCCTCATACATATACCTCAATAACAGGTCCTTCTTTCCAAGTGGAGGAGAATATTACTGCTCTCCTGACTAGCAGATGAGGCAGACTGACAACACTACAGACATGCCCTTGTTTTTAAGTTCCTGTTGTCCAGATGCCCAAGCACACTGCACCCAGTAACCTGAACTCCATCAGATGTAGTAGGGAGCCTGCCTCTGAACCCCAAGTCTCCTGCATACCTAAAGGGCCCCCGAGTAGGTTGGTCAAAAATTCTCTACTAGAGCTGACAGAAAACTGGATTTTTGAGTAAACAGACTTATTTGTTTGATTGCTTATTTTTGTGAAAAGTGTCAGCTTTCCATGGAAAAAGACATTCACTTGAAAAATTAAATTCTTCAGTCTGGGAATACCAAGAGTTGTGGCGGTGGGGATGTAAATGAGGTGCCTCACAGTCCTAACCTGCCCTACTGAACTTCATCCCCCATGATGCACACCTCTCCCTCCCTCACCCGCTGAGGGAAAACTGAGGCACGTCATAGGCTTTTTTTTAGTCCACTGACAGGATTAGTGCATGAGGCACCATGAAGGCACCTCAGAACTAAAACGCTTCAGCGCTTCTCTGAAATATTTCAAGTTTTAATATTTTTACCGAATACTCTGAGTTTTGTGGGGTTATTTTTACATCTTCACCAAAACCCCAGTTTAGGTGGCTTGTCAGTAAAATGCAGTATTGCATACATTGCCAGATGGACTTGGCATCCTCCGCAGCAGTTTCCGCAGCACCCCTAGGCATCTTGTGCCATAGTTTGTGAATAAAGGTAAGAGGGCATCTCCCCCAGGAAACTCATCCCAGACCAGTCTAAGAGAAGGAGAAGGTCTGTTAAAGTGCACAGGCTGCCATGGCATCTTCTAAAAGAACGAAGGAAAAACCACTGTTAGGAGGGGCCCTGCAAATGTGTTGTCTGTCTTCAGGGCAGAAAGCAATCACTAAACCTTACATCAGGACACAAAAATGCTGGCAGCACAGGAAACCAGAGCTTGAGATTCATTCATTTAGTGCTGTCAAAGTAGCTTCATTTCCTCAGCCTGCTCGTAATGCACAAGGCATCAGGAAAAGGCTGGCAAGAAAAGGAGAGGCAGGAATTTTGAAACCTGTGACCAGTACCCCATATAACAAGGGTTTTGCGCATGGCACCAGCCCCACAGCCTTGATTTAGAGGGAGACCCAGAATGGCCCGCACCATTGCAGCAGCTGCAGCAACCACCATGCAAGAAGCACATAGCCTTCCTCCCTCCTA